TCAAACACTGAGTCGAGTCTTACTCTGCTGTCTCGCATCCTCAGTGACATTGAGGACGTGGTGAGCACCCTATTTATCCACAGGTAGCCATGATCGATGATCAGTCGTTGAGACTCGAATGAATGAACGAGATCTCACGGCCCAATGACTGGTATACTTGATTGTTTTCTGGTCTGTGGGCAGAACCTCGGCCAAAAGCGACACATTATACTTTCCGGTTTCTTGAATCTTGACTGCAGTGGTCAAACCTACCACACCTGACAGACGCTCCTAATCAATGACTTGGTCGACGTTCAAAAAAGTGATGTGACTTGCCAGCGCCGAGCACTACGATGCGGTTTCTTTGCTTTTCTGAGGCCATTGTGTGAGAGTAGGAGGAGAGCACATGCGATCTCAACTTTCGATCCTGAATTGGCGGGCCGGACCCTTGATGATAAACGATTGACGGAAAATTCGGAAGGGGCCGATGAGCGAATGCTCACGGCAACGACGGTCTCATCGAATTGATTCCCTGTAAACGTTGTTCCACACTAGGGAGGACGCAAAAGGGGGATGTACATCTGCTTTCCCTTGAACAGGTGGACTATTTTGTTGAACAGTAAAAATATTTCGTAATGGATCCAATATCCATTGCGTGAGTGCCCAATACTAGGTGGACGAAGAGCTCAATGACTCATGTACACCTTTTAGAATGATTTCGGACTTTTTTCATCCTAATGTTGGCGGCGTAGAAAACCATATTTACATGTTGAGTGCGACACTAATACAGAAAGGCCACAAAGTGCGTTGTTCGTCAGGTATTGGCAGAATGAATGGATAACAGCTCAAAAGGTCATTGTGATCACACACAGTCATGCTCCTGATCGCATTGGTGTCCGTTGGCTGCTTCCGTCACTGAAGGTCTATTACCTTCCATTTCTTCCAATAGCGTCATCAGCAACTCTCCCAAATTTCTTCACGTCACTACCATACCTTCGAACGATTCTCTTGAGGGAGCACATACACCTGATTCATGCTCATGCCAGTCTTTCTTCACTTGGTCATGAAGGAATCTTACACTCTCACTTGATGGGAATCCGCACTGTCTTCACCGACCATAGTCTGTTTGGTTTTGACGATGCCGCGAGTATCTTGACGAACAAGCTCCTTGCCGGGACACTTAAAAACGTTGACGCTGTCATATGTGTCTCTCACACGGGGTAAGTATTCGCATATCACCCTAACCATTCCACTCTTTACTGGCATATCTTATTTATCAGTCGCGAAAACACAGTTTTGCGTGGTGAACTTTTCGAGCCCGACCCGCAGGATTCTTCCAAACACTTTGTGCGAAAAAATGTCTATGTGATCCCTAACGCTCTTATCGCAGACAATTTCAAACCGGTTCCATTGAAGCCCTCTGAAATAAGTATGAATTGTGAATTACCAAATTGCTCAAGTCCTTTCTGATCATTGATTGCAAAGTTACCATTATCGTGCTGTCTCGGTTGGCTTACCGCAAGGGTATTGATCTACTTGTTGCAACTGCGCCCAGAATATGCGCTGCATTTCCAAACGTTCGTTTTGTAGTCGGTAAAACCTTCCTTTACCTTCGTTGAGGACACGATAAATGACGGATGTTCAAGGTGGCGATGGCCCCAAACTCATAGACCTTCTGCAGATGCGGGAGAAACATTTGCTCCAGGATCGTATTGAACTCCTCGGGCCTATTAGACACAGCGACGTTCGATCTGTAGGTCCCTGTGCCGTATATCCAGCATTTCACATCATTGGACATTACTAGGTACTGCATCAGGGAGCGATATTTATGAACACCTCTCTCACAGAGTCTTTCGGCATCGCCATTCTCGAAGCGGCCTGTGCCGGCCTGTACGTTGTCTCTACACGTGTTGGGGGTGTGCCCGAGATTCTTCCCAGAGACATGATTAGTTTCGCTGAGCCCGAGGAGGACGGTTCGTCTTGTTTATCTTCTGAGCAGTGTAGTCGCACTATGGGCTTACCGGTCACCGTGGTTTCCAGATGTTTTCCGCGCCATGTCTGAAGCTATTGATATCGTTGCGGCGGGAAAACACGATCCACAAAAGGCACATGAACGTGTAAAGACTTTCTATAATTGGGAAGATGTCGCAGTACGAACAGAAAAAGTCTATGATGCTGTTATCAAATCCCCACAGATGGACTTGTGGGAGCGCATACACCGGTAGGACAAGCCTTTGTACCCTTTTCTAATACGATTTTGATAAGGCATCACCTTGTAGGACTATGCAACTGGGGCCTTTCGCAGGCCCAATATACACTATGATTTTGATCGTCGATTGTCTTTTTTTTCTCTTCCTGGAGTGGTGGATGCCTCGTGAAGATCTAGACTACGTTAGGGTTCATTGGAATCCTACAAAGTTCAAAGAGGTGCTGTATAATCCCATTCCCATTTTTAACGATATCTTAAACAGTAATGATCAGATCACCGAAAAGGAGAGACGAAAGCTTGCTAAAGCTGTGTCTCCTTAACTTTCGCGAACTGCTCAGCATCAGAGGAGATCTCATGGTTTATACGCTTACCGCGGAACAATCTTCCGGTAGGTGCTATAAAGGTATTGAACGCTTACCAATATTATTTATACTCGTCTAAATGCGTCCATTTCGAGTCTTTTCGTACCACGTTTATCAAGTAACACTGGGTAATTGCTTCGGAGCTGTCTTTGTCCGATCACTCAGTGGCTTAGAGTCCAAGATAGACATATTCAGCACCATCCTAGAGAGACTAAAAATACATATACGACAGCAAGTATGTGAGTCTCGAGTACTTATTTCAAGACAGCAGTAGGGATACATAAGCGGACCTTGGCATAGGTATAATTTTTGTTCAGTAAAATGAGATATCATGGTTCCAAATCACATCCAACCAAGTCGTCTTCATCCTCATTGGGGTTGTAACCATATTCGGCGAGACGGTTACTGAAATGAGTTGTCATCTTTTTGCAGTCGGTGGGTGCCTGGTGAGTTTGTTGGTCATTTGTCAGGAAGCAGCCGGCATTTTTGGACGCGTAGAGTACGTGTTCGATGAGTATCGGGTTAATTCTGGACGCGTTCAAGAGCTGAGTACGCGGAAAACCCAGCAAAGAAAGTTGGGACACTCACGCTTGTGGATTGACAACGCTACCATAGTGAGGCCCTGGAACCTCGAACACCTCGACGTCGGCGATGCCGGCATCTCGTAACCGATCTTCCAGCTCTTCTGTGTACTGTATTGGGTAAGCTATGTCGTCGTCACAGTGAATTAGTCGAACGGAACACTGAATCTGCCGAATGATCCTTCGTAAGTTACAGGAATGATCAGGCGGAACAAAGTGCGAACTCTGGCTAGTGCTTCACGGGATTGTGGTCTCCGCTTGATGAACCATCCAACAGTTGCGTAATATGTCTCTTTGACTGCTTGTGGTGAGCCGGCGCGATTTCTGGATGCTGTAATCAAAGAATTTTTGGATAGCCTGAATACTCATATGAATATCAGGTCATTCGTATTGTCTGTATCCAACTTACGCGTCGGTGAGATTGCTCCGTTGATTATTGAAGCAAAGTTGTTGGATGCCAAGAGTGAGGTCCTCCAATGTATCACGGTCCCCTCCAGGCGGCCCGTGGCCATCGTGATCAAAAGCCTGAACCCAGAGGTGAAACACCTCTTCGCGGCCAGCCGCGATATCTTCAAGCTGAATTATCGTTATCAGCACCGCGAATGAATCTCACTCCGGAGGATAGATCTGCACATACCTCTGTTGCAGGAAGCGGCGAGCAGAGCGTGAGTGAGCGGACGAGTTCTGGGTGGTTTGACGCGAATTCAAGGCCTACACAACTCCCAATAGAAAGCCCGAATACGTGCACGGGTGGAAGGTCAAGTGCTTTCTGGTAAGAACAGGAAACAAGGCGTTAGTAGGCCAATGGGGTGGTGTGTCCGGCAGGCCGCTGATTGAAAGCAATAGACTAGATTCCAAGTTACTCACGAGGAACCGATAGACGTCGTCTGCCGAGTCGGCGGGACAATATTCATCTTGCGTGATGTGACCTTTGGTGAGGCCGTACCCTCGCATGTCGACGCCGATTAGATTGAATTGGTGTCTGAGTCGCGGATCGCTGTATTGAGCTGTCGAGGTCTCAGTGTTGCAGCTCGTTGAGGATGAGAAGAACTGTACATTCAAACGCTTCGTGACCAGAGTATCCAGAGTGAAGGAACAGAACACATGGTAGTTGCGGGACAATGGTGGCACTGGAAGGATTGGTAGGCGTCGCGATTGAGTAGTGTACCTCGAGAGGTCCGGTAGGTGTATCAAGGTGTATGTATGGCATCGCAGGTAGTGGTGGTGTACGACTTGAGTGTTTACAGGCGTATTATTATTTATAGAGAAGCCAGAACCTGCTGTAGCCGAGTGAGAATTCATCACCTTTTAGGGTCTTAGTTGACAGTTCCATATGCAGACAGTGAAGTCATAGACGCTTGATAATGACTCCGAGTCCGAGGGCTGTGAGAAGACCGGAACCGTAGTAGTCAGGTTCGATAACAGCAGCGCAATGCCGTAACTTGCACATGGTGTGCAATGTGCTATTACCAGATTTGTTCCTAATCCTAATCCAAACGCTATTGAACTTGATCGAGAATTGATGGGTAATGAGGTTCAGTCTATGTGCCAAGTGGTACTCTGTGAAGCAAGCAGTCTCTAGAAAGATGTCGAGTTGAACCCAGCTGTGCTGAAACTTTTTGGCACCTGTCTAACACATCAGAGCTGTACAAAGATCAATTGTATTCGTCGTCAAGCAACGGCAAATTTTTGAATGCCCAAAAAGTTGAAAGCCTCAAAAATAGTTCCAAGGCACGTCGGGCGCTGAGCCGGCTTGGAGCGGCTCTGGACAAAGACACGACAATCACGTGCCTCGGAGCGCGATCGCAAGGATTGAGCTCTAGATCGCCTTCTGATCTGATATTCAATGTTGTGGCTTCCAATGCATAGGCATCAATGGTGTAGCGGTAACATTGGGTCTTCCCACTGATCAAATCAGAGTGTGGCCTAGCTCCGGGTTCGACTCCCGGTTGATGCATATATTGGTTGTAGCAAAGATTATTTTTTGCCTTTATTGCGTGTATTTTTTCTTGTCATGAGAAAAAAAGTATTTCTGTTCTATTCAATGATTGCTGACTGTCAATAACTTGCGCCACACTTCGCGTGGAACCCTGGTGCGCCAAGGCCACGAATTCAGAGATTTTCCATGACGAGGTGACCTATCGAGGACATATATCACACAACACATATAACTGTACCTGTTTGCAGGTGTCAACGTGCCTCCTCAAGCAACTTGCAACAAAGTAAATGCTTTCGCACATTTTAGGGCAAATTACCAGGGTTCTTCCCAATGCTGTTTCGTCGGCTACAATCTTCCGCAAGATGTTTTCTCCGTTCAGAAAATCCTTGGCTCTTCCACTATCAATTCAACGGGACATTGCAGGCGCCGACGAGTTCCAGTTGCACGGTCGAAACGACGTTCTTCCATCCAAAAAAGGATTACATTTGGCAGGTATACGTAAGATCATGCTTCTTGATGATAGCCATTTCTGGCGGGAAGTGAGTAGATTATCGGGAGCATTAGAAAGGCGAGGCAGCCCCGAGCCTTTTGGCTGAGCTTGGCGGATGTACCTGCTCGCCGTCGCTGTTATGCTGGTCTAGTTTGGTAGGATGCTTAATAGTTTATCCCCAGCGCGGTGCGGGATGTGACTCAGGAGACTCCAGACCGGCTCGGATGGCAATCAAGTTCCCTTGCTGTGCACAGTGATGAAAGGCGGCGCCCTGGGCGCATATAGAACTTGATGGTGCGTATGGGCATCGACATTCGGGCTCAGGACTCCAGCGAGGAGGTACAGGGACGACGACGTAAGAAAGATCGAGGCACATCAACACACTGCTGCATCGTGGGGTAGGCAACAGGATCATTCAGCATTCAAACATGCCGATGGTGATAGCGCCCAAGAAGGCGTACAAGTTGATGGCCGTTGATTTGATGTTCCAGGGAAACGTATGTCCGTATACAATGTTTGACTGCGTCATAGCTCGATGATCGCACCTGATGAGCGCGTCAATGGATTAGATCAGAAATCTGCCTTCTTTCCTGATAGGAATTCTCATCCACATTCAACACCGAGATAAAATCTCTCCATGCATTATCAGAGTAACCCTGACCCACAAAAAAGTTAATCTTGTACGACGACACCGTCGAGGCGCTCCAGCCAGTTTCGGTTGGTCGTGCTCATGAACAGATACATCAAATGTCAAATACCAAACCTCTGCCAGTAGTTTTTTCGACGTCGAGGAACTCCCCCAGGTCTTTGGAAGTAATTCCACTATCTCACAAGGTGCGCGGGCAGGCGGGCGGCCAACGCCAGAAGCTGTCTCTAATAGGAAAAATCAGAAAAGAGACGAGTTAAATGTGCGCTGGAAATGGCATACTTTCCCTTGCCTTCCCACAATGTATATCATCTCCTGGGGAAAAGTTATTTGCCACAAAGCGCCCGACTCCTACATTATGATTACGCATACCCAGCCCTTGAAGCCAAATTACGATTTGTAGGATTTCCACGGCGCCGTGTGGATACCTCTTCTGTTCTCCGAGTCTCAGGTCACACCATCTCTTTGTCGACCATGAGGCATTTTGTCACTATCGATTCCAGCCTTATGTGCACGGGAAATGTTACACCATCTTTCTTTCCTTCCCACTATCTCCTGGGAAAAAATCATTTGCCACAGCAGTGATCAGAGCGCCCGAGTCCCACCGCTCCGACTCGGAAGCCTGATGTCCGCAGCGTCTTTCCATCTCAGGCTGCTGATGGCGCTTTTTCGTCTTCGAGTGCGATATGCGTACCTGGATAAATTGACAGGCAGGGCGTCTGCTCTACGACGGGCGCTGTGTGAATTTCCCCTTAGGCTTGGGGCATTCACGACTCACGAATCGCGAATCACGAGAGCAAACGCCTTCAAGTTTCTGATGACGGTCGAGTACTCACACTGATCCGAATATGTAGATAGATTGCGTTCTCGGATCGCCTCGAGTCGTTCCTCGGCTTCAAGTCATCCGAGAAATGGGTCTATGCATATGTGTCTATAAGCTGAACAAGCCGTAGAAAGGGGGGGGGGGGGCCAGTCGAGCGTCGTTTTTTTCTCCGCTCGGCACAAGCTCGCAATGCTGGATCAGCGCTAAAGACACCGAGTACCTCTGTTTTTCGTTCGACCGGCCGCCCACCACTGCCTGGGTAGCGCGGCGCCGAGCAGGTGTCGACCGGGAGGTGGACGCAGCTCGACGCCACGCGCCACGCGCCAAGGGCGGAGCACGAGGCCGACTCGGACTCGGAGCACGAGGTGGCGCTACGGGGCCGGCCCGCACCCCCACACCCAACCGGGCCCGCCTTTTCGGCGAAGGTTGCGCAACGTCGTTTTACGACTAGTAGTGTATCAGTAGTTTATCTCCACATAGATAGAGTTGGAATTAGACTTTGTGCAGATGGAAACAGTGTGTACGGTTGTACGGTTGTACGGTTGCGGTACCTTCTTTGCTCCGAGTCCGAGTCATTTGATTTGATTTGATTTGATTTCAAGTTTCAAGCCGAGTCAAGTTGAGCGGGAATGACAGCCCGCATCGCGTATGCATCGACATCGACGCAAAGACTAGAGTCGCATTGGCATCCCCGGGCCCGAGCTCCTGCGTCGAAATCGAATAAATGATATCCCGTCGATACGTATACGCGTCAAGTTCAAGTTCAACGACCCTAGTTCAAGTATCAATGATCATATATCCAACTATCCAACTATCCAACTAACTAACTAACCAACCAACTATAATCTATCACCAAACGCCACGCCACGCCACTCAACTCCTCCTCCACCTCCTCCACCCCCACCACCCCCTCCTCCTTCAAATCCACGCCCCTCCGAGGCCGCGCCCGTCCTGAGAAGCTGCCTCGAACAGGGGGAGAAATTAAAACCGAGACTGAAATCGAAATCGAAATCGAAATCAAAAAAAAAAGAGAGAGAGAGGGAGGGAGAGAGGGATGGAGGGAGGGAGAGAGAGAGAGAGGGAGGGAGAGAGAGGGAGTAAGAGAGAGAGAGAGAGAGAGAGAGAGAGAGAAGATCATGATGGTGAATGCACTGCCAGTGTGCCGGTGCCGGTGCCGGTGTGCACTGGGAAAACACATTGTTGCTGTTGCCTTCCTTCCTTCCTTCCTTCCTTCCAACTGCTTCAAGTTTTCAAGTTATCAAGCCTAGTACTTAGTACTTAGTACTCAGATCCATTTAATCCGTGGGCAGACACTGAGGCTGGAAGGCGATTTCGTTCGTTCGTTCGTCGACGTAGTCTACTTGTACGCACGATACGATACGATACGGCGCTGTATCAGTGAATTCCCCGACGGAGAGCGGAGACTCGGAGTGGATAGTGCACTCCGTCAGCGTGCAGTGTCGCCCCTCAGCCCACCCTCGCACGCCACTCAATTACTCAATCACTCAACCACTCAATCAATCACACTCCCCCTCCCCTCCCCTCCGCTCCACTCCCCCCGCTTCGCACGCAGACGCGGACCTCTATATCGTATCGTATCGCGGATACGGATAGATAAAATCGAGTACTGGCTGCACTTGAGCAAGCTGCACGGGACACTGGACGGTGTTCGGTTCTAATGCATCCAGTTCAAAGCATAATTAATTGAAGGAGGGATAAGGATGTTGATAGTCAGCGTTCGAAAGGTTCTGCAGAAGTAATACTAAGTAAGTAGAAGTAGAAGAAGTAGAAGTATATGTGTGAAACTAACTTACTTACTTACTTACTTGCTCGATCAATCAACCATTAATCAGGATGCACCGGCAGGAGGTGTGCAGAACAAGAAAGCATGTTGGCTGGAGTCACGGGAGGCCATGCGCATGCGCATATGGAAGTACCGGATTTTTCTGAAACATGGAAGGAAGGGGAGGGCGACGATGACGATGACGATGACACTGTGCCGCGCCGCGCTGCAGGAAGATGGGATGGGATGGGATGGGATGGGATGTGTCGCGTACAAGTGCAGAACGTGAGTGAATGTGTGTCTCGAGTGTCGAGTGTCGAGGAATAAATGAATAAATAAATGAATGAATTTGATGTGTGTCGCGTCGCTGGTCGGTCCCGTACTGATACGATATCGAGATAGACTCGACGCAGAGGTCTGAAGCGATGCATGATGCATGATGCCGCAGCGTTTCTATTCGTTCGTCGACGTAGTCTACCTGTACGTACGTACGATATGCATTGACCAGCGCCTGCCGGTGAACTCCTCGACGGAGAGCAGAGTGCCCCTCACGCCACTCAATCACACTTGCCCTCCTCCTTCCCGGCGGCGCCCTTCGGGCGCCTCTTGGCCCTGGCAAACACCCCAACCTCTTCATCGCGGATGAAATTGAGTATGACCATGGGCCACGAGGGGTGCGCGGGTAGGACGTCGTAGAACTCGGGCGCGAGTGCGCGGAGGGCGGGGAGGCGGGTCCATGGGATCGAGGGGAAGTCGTGGTGTTCGTTGTGGTAGCCGACCTGCGCGCGGGTTAGTGAAACGAAATAAATGAAAGTGGGCTCTAGACGCGACGCACGTTGTAGGCGAGGAAGTTGAGTGGGCCGTAGTAGCTGAACGTCTCCTGGTGCATACGGTCCCAGAGGTAGTGTTCTGCGATAAAGTGCCCCGCGCACGGGTGGAGGCTGCCCGCGAAGAAGCTGCTGAGGAGGAGGTAGAGGAGGGGCCGCGCGCCTGCGGTGCGCACGAGGAAGTAGTCGAATGTGAGTGAGGCGGTGAGGTTGAGGAGGTGCCATTTTGTGAGACGTTGGGAGCGCACGAAGCCTGGGCGGAGGGCGTAGAAGAGGATCTGGAATGTCCTGCGCGCGTGGGGTGGGGTTAGGGTAATGTGGGAGGGGAGGGGGGGACCTACGCGAAGAAGACCTTGCCGAGGACGTTGTTGAGGCAGAGGAGCTCGAGGCGGGTGGGGAGGTCGGTGTCGATGCCGTCGTGGCCGAGGAACTTGTGGTGCTCGATGTGG